CTCTAGTGATCATCTCATAGTGTTTAGCATCATATATTCTGCGCTTTTACCCCTGTATTTACTAGTATTTAGTTACTCTAATTACACTATGTAACACAAGTTTTATTCCTTAATAGTATGCGTTATTTCTTAATTGCTTATGTTGTAAAAGTATAGAAATGGCCATTATTCCCTTCAAACTTTGCTTTTGTGACCTGGATAATGAAATTAACCCACTTTCTTTGTAAAAACTGGCAAATTTGCACATTTTCATTTACATAGGTCTAAATAAAACAACATTTGAGTCAAGATTTATATGTATGTATAGTAAAGTTATACAAAAATGAACAAAACTATTCAGAAGTAAGTAGTTTTTAGAAATTTGCAGATAAACGGCCTGACCCTGTGCTCAGACTCCAGATTTCACTCTCAAATGTAAATGCAGTACCAGTCAAACGTCTGGACACACCTGCTGAAGATCCTTTTTTGTCAAGATAATGAGCCTAAGCACAGCTCACAGTTATGTAGTAAGTGTTACCTTATGAACAAGAAAAGAGTTGGAGTGCTGTGACAGCTGACCTGGCCCCCACAACCCCCCAGCCTATAAGTCCTATAGAGCTGGTTTGGGATGAGCTGGATTTAAGAATAAGAGAAAGGTGGCCAACTTGTGCCCAGAATTTGTGGAAACTCCTTTAGGACTGTTAGAGAAGCATTCCAGGTGGCTACATCTGGGAGCTGATTGGAAGAACAAAAAGAGTCTGCTATGTCGTCATCGAAACAAAAGAGGGGTTTCTTTGGAGACTCTGTCCTCTCAGAAAATTTGAGATGCTGAATACTTCTCTTGGTCATTGCAATAATTGATGAGTATTACTTCATTGCCTCGGGGTCTACTATAAGTTTACTATAAGGTGAATAGCAGCTAAAATAGATACAAATGCATTAATAGTAGGTGTGGCAAGACCTTTGACTGGTACTGTTTGTGAACGTCTCAATGGAGAACAGGAAGGAATCTGTGAAAAGAAGTTCTCTAATGTACCTGTACTTACACTTGTGCAAATGGCACATAAAGCAAAATTTCATGAAAACGAATCATCACTTATCCAAGGTGAAAAGGAAATTAGAGTCAGTTCACCTGAGTACAATATAAGCAAAAATATAAAGCATAGGACTTCAAATGTATGTAGCCCACCTGGTCAATATCCTTCATATAGTTACTCATAGATGAGGCCTGCAAAGAGAAACGGGGAGAACGAGGAGATCAGAGCCACATCGTTGCTGTTCAGGTCTCGGTACGTCTCAGTCAAAGCCTTACTTCAGGAAAAAAGATTCTGGAGGCAAAATGCTTGTAATCCAGGAAGGGGATCGTGCCGACATTTTCGATAAATTGTGATGTCTCTGTTATCTGCATGTCAACAAAGCCTGAGGAAAAGTCAGAGTGAACATGGTAAACGCAGAACTCCACACACACACACCAGCAGGTGTGTCGCTGAAATGAAAGGTAGCTTAATGGGAGTGTGCAGACATTTATCACACAATAACACACTGAAGAGCCTCTGTGGGACTACTGGGGAGACATGGTCCTGACTGGAAGTAGCCTTGCAGACTGACCTTGTCTGATCTCTTTTCTTATCTCACATTCCAGAGTGTCTAGATACTTGTTCATCTCTGCAGACAGCTTCTTCTTTTTGAAATGGTAAACCCACAGTAAAACACCTGCCCCATGCAAACACAAAAGACAGTTAGCAAATGAATTAGCTTCCTCTATTCAGAACCATATATGGTCTCGTTAGGAAGACAGAAAAAGCTGTGAAATACCCAGCTTGGTTTACCCAACAAGCCGGCAGTATGTCAGTATGTTGTTCTCTGCTGTTAGAGCCAGACACTAATATACAGGCCCAGCTTTCTGCATCTGACATAAGTGACTGGCACTGGTACGTGTGACCTTTTCTACATTCAACTCACCTGTGATGATAAGAGCGATGAAAGCAAATACACCCAGGAGGATCCAGTAATATTTATTAGTATTTTGCTCTTCGAGCTGCTTTGAGAAATTCCCNGCACCAAACCAATTTCCGTTTTTTGAGTCATGATATCTCCCATTACTGTGTCCCCAGGTGCATCAATCTGCCATGACCTCATGATGAGCACATGCACACTTTGACCACTTCAGAGTGTACTCACACTAGCTGATCTGTACCATGCCCAAACATGTTTGACCCCCAAAGTCCAGTCCATTTGACTAGTGTGATAGCTTTGTACTATGCCCGGGCTCAGTACACTTGCTTGAAGGGGTTAGGACCCGGGCACGGTTAGTTGGACTCAGGCACGGTATGCATCTAGTGTGATTGCTAATCGTACCTGGGCATGGAACACAGACCTGACATCAATGATGCAACTGACACACGCATGTGCACATGTACACTATAGATGAATTGGACCCGGAAGGAATGGATCAGGAATGGATGAAGTTGCTATTTATATCAGTCCTTAAAAGGACCACACAAATAGCAACGATAACACAGAGACAATCAATGGCAGGGAAACGTGGGAAGGTAACACACTAGACAGGAAGGCTCACACACGGTAGGTCAATATACAACATTACAGCAAGTCAGGATCACACACACACAGCACAGGTAAGGGTACACGAGATACTCAGGAGTACAACAGGTATTTACACTACACACAGGTAGTTACTTATAGCAAGACATACACAGGGGCTATATACATGGCTTGCAAGTGTGTCGGGATATGTAGATGGCTCCGGCTCTACGCTAAGTGGCCAAGGCCTGACTGGATCCCTAGAACACCCTACTATCCCGCAGCCTTTGAAATACACCAGCGAAGCTGTGCATGAAATGTACACGGCCTTGCAGAGTCTGGCTTCAAGGTCCCGACTTTGAGCCCAACGTGGCACCTTCTCCTGCATGATATGTGCTGGTGTGGCTACATTGTTATCAACACAGCCAATGTTGCAATTCTGAAACTTCTAACCCACCTCAATCAGTAATCCAGTTTTGTGTGTGTATGTGTGTGTGTGTGTGTGTGTGTCTGTGGGTTTGCATATATCACATCTGAGGACCAAATTTCCCCTAAAGTGTAGTAAAACCTGAAATTTCCCTACTTTTGGGGACATCTTTTGAGGTCCCCATTTGGATAACCTCAGTTTTATAAAAATCTGTGAATGCAATCAAAAAAGTAAAAATGCCAAAAGTCTTGTATTTGGGTTGGTTACTTATGGTTAAGGTTAGGGATGGGTAGAGGTTAAGGGTGTCGTGATTATAATTAGGGTTTCTCCCATAGAAATGAATGGACGGTCTCCATTTAGATAGGAAGACCAACGTGTGTGTGTGTGTGTGTATATGTGTGTGCGTGCTCTGACATGTTTCTTTCCCCAACCTCACAGAGCTGTCGCATTTGCTGTTTACCTCACGGAAGTAACGCTTCACATATTCATAGAGGTCACGTAGTGCAGCTGATTCGTTGAACTAATTTTCATGTTTCTGAATATAAACACAGGCATTCTGAGGAGAACATCACACTGCTTAGTTTTTCCACCATTTACATATCATATATGTAAGATTGTGTGTGTGCACACTGCGATGGACTGGCGTCCCATCCAGGGTGTCCCCTGCTTTGTACCCTGTGCTTAATGGAATAAAGGCTAACCAGGACCCAGGACTGGCTAAGCGGTTATAGAACGTGATCCAGATTACAGAATACTGTCCTCCTTCATGGCCACTTGAGAACGGACATGTGAACAAAAGGGCTGCCGTAGTGGTGCAGCTTGCCATTGCTAAATAGCATCATGATATGCATGGCCTACTTTTATTCTGAGGTTTAAGTAATTAGCCACAGCAGCGGTTAGCACTGTTTATTTTCACCCTGTATGGATTTTCTTCTGAATTAGATCTATGAAATATTCTATTATGTGTGGATATTTCTGTAGTTCATGCTGCTGGGTGTGGTTTCTATGTCGTGTCTAGATCTAAACACACACAAGATAACTTCTGTCATTTCTGGCACGCTATCTGTGTTCCATGCTGTGATGCCCTTGTGGTTGAGATCTATGTGCATGTGACTTTGCTAAAGCTGTAATTTTGCGGTCTCACTCAGGAATTCTGTGATTGGTCAGCTTTGTTTTCAACACATTAAGAGAGATTACAAAGTAATCTAATCTACCGTGATGCCAAAGTTAAAGATAACCTTGGCTTTAGCTCTAACTATATATACTAACTCTAATAATAACCCTAACTTACATTCTAATAGCAACCTTAACCTTAGGTCTAACCCTTAAGGCAACCATAACCCAATCTCAAACCCTAATGACACCCTAAACTT